ATATTATTACTATATATATATATATATATATATGTATTATATATATATATTTACTATATATATATATATATATATATAGATATAGATATAGATATATATATAAATACATACATATATATATATATATATATATATATATGAATACATACATATATCTATATATCTATATATCACTTGTCAAAGTATTCCCATTATTTGTTTTGATAAAAAAATTGTTGATATTTTCTTCCTGTATTCTGTGTCGGATTTGCCTATATTGATCATATTCCTCGCCCGTGTTTCAGGTTTTTAAGATACATAATTTGTATTTATGAACTGATCCGTGTTTTTATGAACTAACCCTTTATCCTGCATATACCACTCACCGTGTTCCACACTGCAGATAGTGAAGACTATGCTGATGAACTCAATGACTTGCCTCGTGAGTGCTCGTATGAGAGCGATAACGCCGATAGTCCCTGGTCACATCCGAACCGATGGGAAGGACAGATGGCCGTCCCTATGATCTATCTCTCGCTGATCCACGCCATATTCAGACACGGTCCGAACCACTGGCCCTCCACCATGACTTTGTTCTTCAACGCGGTATGTTAGGAATTAAGTAGAGGAACATTTTATTTTATGTGAGGTGTTTTAGAGAGTATTTATGCTTGGTGTCATATTGCACTGACCCTCCACTATAACTTTGTTCTTCAATGCGGTATGTTGGGATTGGAGTAGATGTACCCATTATCTTGTGTGGGGTTGTTTCAGTGAGGGGTTGTTCTAGAGAGTACTTTTAAGTGTCATACTGTATGCCGTTAAGACCAGTATCAAGTGCACTGGAATAAAATGATGAGATTAAGGTAGCCTTTCAGCACATTTAACTCTTAGTGTGTTGGATATGTGATGGACAGAGCTCGTATATAAGTCTTGCGGGTGTATGTTAGATTCGTAAGTCGAATTCATGACGCCCACCATTGTCGGAAACGCACACCACTTGTGTGCATGCAATAGCAATACTCGGCGCTGATTGCTTTCTTACGTTGTTGTGTGCTATACATAGAACCAAGTGGAAACAGCAAGTTCGGATCTCGTACTCATATGTATACAACTATGTAATGGGTGAGTCGAAGGGAATGAAATAAGCGTACTCCTGGGAAGTATGCGGGAAAGTGACTGCACAACCCCTCGCGAACGCACGGGCATCACGTGTCGTATTCTGTCGCTGCCGACATCAATGCCTTATTTGTAGCTCGTGGCTGTGCCACAACCCTGTCTCGCTTTAAAACTAAAACACGCAATCCCATTGCTACGTTGCTATCGCCTTTGCCCGCAGCTGATTGACGAGGATAACTTAACCAGCTCGCTTCCCCGATTCGGTATTACGGAACCACGCCAACTGCTGTATCTCTGCCATCTGATTGGCCCCACCGTGGGGAGCATGTCGAGTGTACCCTTGAGTGTAAAGTGGGCATCCCACACGAATGATGTATGTTTTACAAATCGATTGTAACCCGGATTTTGTGTCTTGATCTAGCTGTATTAAACAACGATGTGTAGCGATTAAACATATAGCAAAAAAATTCAAGAGCTAATTCTTTGTTTGCTTGGAGGTATTGGCTTTGGAATGCTACGTGCTGTACATATTTTAAGCCTCTCGTCATACTTGCATCCAAACCTAAGTGTGCCAATACCATCCTCATATTCTTATACGCCTTTGCCTGGCAATTGCGCATTCCCACAGTACCAGGAGCACTACTCTCTGGGTCTGCTCTTCATGCAGCTGATGCGGGCCTTTGTGCAGGTGAACAATGCGGTTGTAGCACGACATGGAACGTATGTGCTCCCGTGTACAGCCACTTCTCGGGTCATCAATTTCCTGTAAGTACCTTTAACGTGATTTTCCATAGGTTTCTTTCTATTGAATTCCTTTGGCTACATCTTCAGCTTTCCTATCAATTTCTATCAATTTCCTGTAAGTGCCATTCTTCTTGAGTTGTACTATTTTTATTTTTATTTTTTATCAACTTTCTGTACATTCCTTCCGTTGTACAAAGCTTGAGGGCGGCGGAAATGGTTTTTGATTTGAGTTGTGATTGTTCCGACTTTTTCTGTGGTTACATATGAGACCGCGACTCTGAAATTGCAAGGTCGATTGTTCTCCTTGGACGAGGAACTGTCATTGAAGCTATATAGCTCCTGTCGCTGATCCCCACTTTTATTATTCCATCATCGACTCAGGTATTATATAAAGTACCACTACGCTTTTGAGAGCTTCGTGTGGGACGATGCGCAGCAAATGGTAAGGTCGAACACATCGGGGTTGCACAAAATGTCAGTGAACTGGCAGAGACACTGCATTGTTTCCGCGCAAAATGTTATCTGATTTATGGCCGTGAAAACGGACGCGAAACCGTTTGTTTGCATATCTGCTGTGCTAATTACTTGTATTGCAACATTAATCCACGTCTATTACAGATACAACTGTTCGATCCCCCCTTGCGGCTGCAGCTGCGTTTCCTTCGACGATCGTCGCCATAGCAATATGTCTATGGATGGCCTTCTTTCTGGTCTCCTCTAGGCTGTTAATGCCGCGTATAGTATATGTCGGCCCTACCTATGCAGAGTTATCTGTATCGCTGAGTATGGATACAGCTACGGCACCTACATACAATGGAATGACTAAAATGAGCGCATCGCATGAACGAGCTACAATGGAGTTTTTTGCACGAGTTGACCAATCATTCCGAAAGTCGCTGCCGTTATCTCTGACTGCGAAATTACTATAGGAATACACGATCATCAATATACACTCATCGAGCTTTACTGGACATGTTTCTTAATCGATAAAGGTTTTAGGATTGCGTACAAGTTTAGCAATCCCAGCAAAAGTATGTACAACGTATTTATATTTACTAAACTGAATCCGTATAGAAGCAGGTCAAGGAAAGAGGTTTTTTGTTGCTACATTATAGAGAAGGCTCTAAATACCACCAGTATCGCCAATGTAATACTTGCCCTTCACTTCATATACGCACTATATGCAAGCAGTCTTTTGATCGGCTAACTATCCGAGTCCTCTCGCTCTGGCGCCACCGACCCCTTCAGCACGGTGCGTCCTGCCCGGGAATTCCCTCGGGGTGAATCAACTGAAGATCGTGATAATACGGGTGAGTTGGTGACGGATACAGGTTTGGCTGAGGTGTTGGTAGAAACAGACGGCCTCCTGGATGAGTGGGTAGCAACAGACGTACGCCTGGATGAGTTCGTAGCAACGGAGGTACGTCTGGGAGAGTTGGTCATGGACGGGCGCTGTTGGGCCTGCCGCGAGGAAGAACTTTGGATTGTCGGAAGCTGATTCGTAACATCGTCACCGCCGGATACGGAGGGGTCTGGCAGCATGGCCACGGGCTGTTGAATCCACTGCTCTTGTGACACGCTGGATGGGTTCATAGCAACGGAGGTACGCCTGGGAGAGTTGGTTATGGACGGGCGCTGTTGGGCCTGCCGCGAGGAAGACCTTTGGATTGTCGGAAGCTGACTCGCAACATCGTCTCCGCCGGATACGGAGGGGTCTGGCAGCATGGCCACTGGCTGTTGAATCCACTGCTCTTGTGACACGAATTCATTCGAAATTGGGTTGGATAAGACCCGGCTTGCTGGGACCAAACTCTTCTTGCGATCCAAGTAGGAGCCACCAACACTCGATATGTTGTTGAAGGTGATGGTGCTGCCAATGGTGCTGCTGAAGTTTGCGCTTGTGCCGTCAATCACTTTGACGGCCTCTTCCCGTTTTTTCTGCCTGCGTTTCCTCAATAGCAAACAGCTCGCTAGCATGCAGCAACAGCAGCACAGACCTGTTAACAAAGCAATAGCTCCCCCCACGAACACGGCCAACGTGGTAGAGTCCGCCAAACTCGCCTTCTTTTGTGTGACCATACTATTACCCTTGACAATGTCATCCAGTTTCAACGCGTTAAGAAACGTATCGATATCGTACACCACACCTACATCCGAAGCCACCCATCTCTCTCCGGTTACGAATCCATTGTCTACCTGTCTGGGACTGAGTGCTTTGAACATGTCCCTCCTGCGTCTTCGCGCGGGCACACCGCTGATGCCTGATCCATCCAGGTATTCTACGCGGATGGTAAAGTTGAGATCGATGATGTTGAAAGTGTTATCTGACTCGGCACATGCCAATCCGCTCGTTATTCGTATGGGCGTCTGGATCTCTGGCGGCACAATCTCATTGACGCCCGCAAACCGTTGCGCAAGTAGGGACACATCTTTAGTGAAAGGATAGGGGTTGTATCCAAGACCTTCACAATCTCCATCAGACTCCCGCACAAGCTTTATAATGTTTGCGTCCTCGATCGTGATACCAGTGACGTTCGTCCACAATCGAAGGGACCAGTAAGTCATTTCTCCCAATGTGAAGCGATTGTTTGGGCGTTCAACGGCGTAGGTTGCATCGGTTTTCAACAGGATGTCCGGCTCGAACGCTCCTTCGATTTTGACTGTAGAATGAAATGCCAAGGAAAATTAAAAAAATATGGATGGCGAAACTTTTAAAATGAAAGTGCGAGATCCGTGCGATCTCATGAGAAGAGTTGATGAATATACATCCAGACACAATACGTCACAAGAGAAATTGGAAAATTGAAACAAGAGTTACTCAGAAATTAACTTACATTGTTGTTCTTCGCACAAGTCGTTGGTTTGAACCGATACGATTACATTCATAAACGGATCGGTTATTTTAGGACAAGCGCCGCTGGCCGCGGCGTCGGGTGAGCAGGCAATCTCCATATTCATCAGCGTGTAGAGACCGGTCATATCGCAATCCTTAACATCAAACTGCATATCCATCGTGCACACGCCCCCCTCAGAATTGTCCACACACTCATCATTCAGAGACGTCCACCTCGTGATGTTATCGTAGAAGTCATTGGTAGGCGTGACAAGTGTTTCGGGAGCAAACAGGAACGGTGGCAAGATAACATTGTATCCATTCGCAATGACTGTCACCTCCCCATCGATACTACCATCGGGGTCGTCCGTCATGCGCAGATTGCCGTCCGCGCCGGGGAGTATGGTATCCGTCTTGATGGTGTACATTCCAGGATTGACATCCTCAAATACGTAGTTCCCACTTGCATTCGTAGTGGTTGTTGCTACCAGGGTGCCTTGTGCATCATACAGCTCAAAGACTACCCCTGAATCGATAGGAATGAGATCGCCCGCTTGTTGTATGGTTCCAGTAATGGTGACAGCGTAGTTACTCGGGGTGGGGTTGTGGACGAACGGTTCTACGACTGTGTTGTGAGGATGGGATGGGAGGTCAAAGTCAGTGAATTTATGGGTAATTTCACATTAATATGAGCATTTGAATGCGTAGAGATATCGGCGGTGTAAAACTATGGTGCATACGTACAACACGAATCAGAACAAACGATAAGAAAATGGACTACAAGCAGCGGTTGCCATGCACTAAGGATATCTCCACACAAAGAACCCCCGCACTTACCCGTAGCTTCACCACCACCGGCGACGATCTCTACGGTGGGACTATCAGAAACGCCGACAATATAACCACCGTCTGCGACACTCACGAATGTGTAGGCACCGTCACCATTGGTATACGCCACTTGGCCAGTGGCGTCTTCGCCCGTACCTACCAATGTGACCATCACACCGCTCACGCCATTACCATCGGCATCGACAACTGTACCGACAACTGAGTCTCCTGATACAAGTACAAAGTCGACGTCAGACACAGACGTTCCCATGTATTTTACAGTACTGTCTCCATCAATCGGATCAGCGTTGCTGTCCAATTCGTCATCGAATATGGTGTACTCGGCCGGGACCTCTATTGTGACAATGTAGTTTCCCAGGTCAGTCAGGCCAGTAAAGAAGTAGCGGCCCTCCTGATCGGTTACCTTGGTAACAGACACCTGCGTGTTCGGATATGTCAGCACCACATCCACACCGGGGATCATATTTCCCAACGTATCGCGAACATCACCCGTAATCACACCCAATGGCGAGTAGCCGATCAGTACATCGGTAGCATCGCCTCCTCCGGTTACAACAATGGGGTTTCGTAGACCTGTGGTGACGACTTGGTTAGGATCGTTCGGGTTGTTCTCTGGTACCTCTACGTAGTATGTACCGACTGGTATATCTGTGAATTCGAAGTTCCCATTATCGTCCGTGGTGGTGGTAGTTATGATTTGACCGCTGGAAATGTCGACCAGAGTGACGGGTAGTCTTTCTAATTCATCTCCATTTGTGGTGACTGCCACTGTTCCGCTGTATTAATTCGAAAATGTCCGTGTAGTTGTTGAATAGTCAGAATGAGCTTGGACAAACATGCACCGGAGCATGAATGAACCAATTGGCAATTGTAGTATCAAAATCCAATATAACTCATAAATTACAGTACAATCTCGTAAATCTAGTGCCACTACAAAAACACCTTGTGATTAGGCACTTCGAGTACCCATAACGACATATGAGAAAGTGCAAGGACCGCATACGTGATTATGCTGGTTGGCTTCGACACTGAATAGGGGTTTGAATAATGGTAATCCACATTGCTAACAGACGGCTTCTCCAAAGTAAGATCGACGCCGAAACCCCCATCCAACAGATCATCGCCCCTAAAAGGCTCATCATCGAGGTAGTGCCCGTTGTTTCCCTTGACGTCCACAAGTACTGTGTAAGATGCGTTCTGATCGAGTCCACTGAATGAATAGCCGCCGTTGCTGTTTGTCTGTGTGACGGCAACGATACTGCCCTCTGCGTCCATCAGCGTCACCTTCATACTGAGCATGGGGCTGTTAAACGCTCCACTTGTGAGTGTTCCGCTGATATCACCGGGCGCTGCGTACGGGAACACCCCTGCGTCAGTTAACTGCCCATTCGTCACAAATACAAAGGTCTCGCCATCCACTAGGTCATCCGGGTCTCCTACCAGCATATTATCACCGAAGGTCGTGCTGGCGACATCAGTTGGTGCTACAACCCGATATGTACCGGTTTGTAAGTCAAAGAAGGTTGCTTGGCCAGAGACGTCGGTGGCCATTGTCTCCACCAGATCATTCTTGCCGTTATATAACTTCACAACAACATCGGATAGAGCCGCCCCCGTAGGAGCGTACATGGCATGCATGATTAATGCCCCAGGTACGTCAGTCAGCGGGGGTGGGATATAACCGGGGGTAGGGTTCGGCCCAGGGAATACATCGTACGGTGCCGCAGGTACGGTTATCTCTTCACCAGCGATTAAAACGTAAGGACTCGGTATTTGGCATTGTACTACGATCTGTACAACGGGAAATATACAACTTAGATACAACTTCAGAAGAAGAAGGAAATCTCGCCTTCCTGTGCGTGAACTTATATGAACTATGTATGTATGCATGCATGCATGCATGCATGTAATATATATATATATATATATATATATATATATATATATATATATATATA